GAGGAGAGCGAGGAGGACGTGTCAGGCTGACAGCAGCCCTCAATCTTTCACCCAGTCATGACTTGATCCAATCAGGACAAGATGGCAGGTCCTGTCATGTCGGGAGCATCAGCGGAGTGACGGGGACAGCGTTTGGGCCGGTCAGTCAGTCAGTCAGTCAGTCAGTCAGTAATGTATTTAGTGGCAAACAGCCCCAACATAGAACCCCTAAAGCCTGAGGAGAATCCATTTACTGAAGAAGCTAAATTCTTTCAACACCCGTAAGGAAATTTTCTGTAATCTTTACCAGTCATTGAAAATATTGGAACATTTTCCTGTGTTTGTTGGTGTTGTGGTCTGTCTACAAAGATAAGAAGAGTCTTTTGTCAAGATTTGCTCAGAAATAATCAGGGTCCAGCAGAGGGACTGGCAATCCTTGTGGGAGAAGCAGGTGCTTTGTAAAAATAATTAAATAGAATCCCAGCAGAACCATTTTTTGCCATCAGGCTACTTAACGTGATGTCATCACGCAGCCCTGAGGGATTCAGGAGACTTCACCACAGAGTGGTTGAATTGTAATGCTAATCTGTTGGTTTGTTGTTGAGCAATGTATGTATTTTTACAGATATATGAGCAAAACTGCCACACTGAGTTTAAATAAAGTTGTCTGAATCTGAATCTGTCACARCAGCACACACACCTGTTAAAAATATTGCATTCACATCTGCAATGTCTATTTTCAACAAAAAAGGAGGCAACCAAACCACTGCTGCATAACTTCTGTGAAAACTCTGAATGAAGGCTAGGTGTGAACAGGTCAAAACATGATTCAGACTGGAATGTTTGTTCCAGAAAGGATTACATGCTGCTCAACAGTTATTACAGCAAGTGCTGAAAGAACTGCTTGAACTGCTCGCTAACAACTAGTCTGATTAAAGATTAAAGTGGGTCACTGCCATCCATCCATCCATCCATCCATCCATCCATCCATCCATCCATCCATCCATCCATCCATCCATCCATCCATCCCTCCCTTGTTTCAGAGTCTGGTTATGGGGGCAACATAACGGTAAAGATGGCTCCTGAGCTTCACCCTAGAGAGGTTTTCCAGGCATGTCCAACTGGAAGCAGACCATGGGGAAGGCCAAAACCCCACCCAAGACACACTGGAGAGACAATGGCTGGGTCCAAACTCAGGGGCTGGGTCCTTCAAAGGACTTGGTCGACCGCGAAGACCGAAAAAAAAAGTGTCTGTCAATTTGGAGCGTATACTCTTCTGCTTTATTCCCGCCCTTACCCCGGCGTACATCCTGTCACCTAACAAACATGACAATGCTAAACAGAAGCAAAAATACTATGGATCAAAATGAGCAAAATTTCAGTATATTAGCATTATTAATATCTCAGAACAACAAAAATTAGCTTAAAGGCAATATTTGAAGAACTAACAGACCTGCCCTATGTGCAGGTTTATCTTTACCAACTTGTAGGATTTCTGACAAGAATATTATTAAAAACATGTCTATACAAATGACAAAAGCTTAACACAAAATCACGAAAATGTAATTTTTATACTGCTATATTTTCCTTAAAAACTGTATTTTGTTCTCTCGCTTTGTCCGCCATTACAAGTAGAAAAAAGATCTCCATTTGGCTTGCAATGCATTATGGGATATGGTGGGCCGAGAAGGATCCATTAGACCCGTCACTCAAATCGGGGCACATGGAGGATGCATTTGTGGGCCGCATCGAAGTGGTCTTTGAATTTGGACAGCCTCCAGAACAGCGCTGTGATGTGAGAGGCCAACAAATTCRGCCTTCGAAGAACACAGACCCTGAATTTGGACACAGCCTGTGTCTGTCTCCTTGGGCTGCCACCTTATCGTGGTAGAGAGGTTTGAGTGTCCCAATGATCCTAGGAGCTATGTTGTCGGGGGCTTCATGCCCCCAGTAGGGTCATCCAAGGCAAACAGGTCATAGGTGAAGGATCAGACAAAGTGCAGCCCAAAGACCCCTCATGATGAGTACCATAAAYGGAGTCAGTGTTCCCYCGCCCRGASGCGGGTCACCGGGRCCCCACTCTGGAGCCAGGCCTGGAGATGGGGCATGTTGGCGAGCGCCTGGTGGCCGGGCTTTCACCCATGGAGCACGGTCGGACACAGCCCGAAGAGGAGACATGGGTCCCCCTTCTGATGGACTCACCACCTGTGGGAGGGGGCATAAGGATCGGGTGCATTGTGTGTTGGGCAGTGGTCGAAGGTGGGTACCTTGGCGGTCTGATCCTCGGCTACAGAAGCTGGCTCTAGGGATGTGGAATGTCACCTCTCTTGTGGGAAAGGAGCCTGAGCTGGTGTGTGAGGTTGAGAGGTTCCRACTAGATATGGTTGGACTCATCTCRACGCACCGCTCTGGCTCTGGAACCAGTCTCCTCGAGAGGGGTTGGACACTCTTCCACTCTGGTGTTGCCCATGCTGAGAGGTGCCGAGCAGGAGTGGGCATAATTATTGCCCCCCCCCATCTTGGTGCCTGTACGTTGGGGTTCACCACGGTGAACGAGAGGGTAGCCTCCCTCCGCCTACGGGTGGGGGGACGGGTCCTGACTGTTGTTTGTGCCTATGCGCCTAACAGCAGTTCAGATTACCCACCCTTTCTGGAGTTCTTGGAGGGAGTGCTGGATTTCCTTAAGGCTCTGGATGTTGTGGGGTTGCATTGGTTGACGCAACTCTACAATATTGTGGACATAGGGGGCAGTTCCCCTGGACTGGCAGACCGGGGTGATGGTCCCCCTATTTAAAAAGGGGACCGCGGCGTGTGTTCCAACTATAGGGGGATCACACTTCTGAACCTCTCTGGTAAGGTCTATTCAGGGGTTCTGGAGAGGAGAGTCCATCGGATAGTCGAATCTCGGATTCAGGAAGAGCAGTGTGGTTTTCATCCTGGTCGTGGAACAGCGGACCAGCTCTACACCCTTAGCAGGGTCTTGGAGGGTGCATGGGAGTTCGCCCAACCAGTCTGCATGTGTTTTGTGGACTTGAAGAAGGCGTTTGACCGTGTCCCTCAAGGACTCCTGTGGAGGGTACTCTGGGAGTATGGGGTACCAGGCCCATTGATATGGGCTGTTAGGTCCCTGTATGAGCGGTGCCAGAGTGTGGTCCGCATTGCCGGTAGTAAGTCAGACTCATTTCTGGTGAGAGTTGGACTCTGCCAAGGTTGCCCTTTGTCACCAATTCTGTTCATAACTTTTATGGACAGAATTTCTAGGTGCAGCCAAGGTGTTGAGGGGATTCTTTTTGGTGACCTTAGGATTGCATCTCTGCTTTTTTGCAGATGATGTTGTCCTATTGGTTTCATCTGATTGTGGTCTTCAGCTCACGCTGGAGCGGTTCGCAGCCGAGTGTGACGCGGCCGGGATGAGGATCAGTGCCTCCAWATCCGAGACCATGGTCTTGAGCCGGAAACCGGTAGTGTGCCGCCTTCGGGTCAGGGAGGAGGTCTTGCCCCAAGTGGAGGAGTTTAAAGAGTAACTTACCCCAAAATTAACTTTTTTTAGCTGATAAACTGTCTAGAATGTGTCTAAAATGTTATATAGTAC